ATGTTTTTGGAAATAATTTCTTTGAAGGAAAAATAATAAAAAATGTGTCGCTGCGAACAAAATCTCAAATGTCAGCTGAATTTATTTAGTCAAATATAATGTGACAACATTGAACGGAATAGCTAAGTCATTTTTTAAGTAATTTTGAAAATATTTTTCAGTATGATTTGAAACAGTAACACTAGTGTTATAGATCTTCTGTTTGGGAGATGAGTGTTTATTTAGGCATGAATTAAATGATAAACATATTTAGAACTCAGAGTTGACAGAAGTAAACATTGTAAATACATCCCATTGGCCTCCTTGGACATTTTTACCTTCTATTAGTAGCATTTTATTTAAGAATATAAAGTAAAGCAACAACTGTGGAAAATTAGATTTTAGCTGCAACTCTCTGGTTTAGTATAATTGTAAAACTACTGTTGATCGTACGTAGCTGAGATTCTTTCATGTAACGTCCAACAGGTTCTCACCTGGAAGGTCCGACAGTAACGGCATCGCAGCTGAAACAAACTTCAATCCAAACTCTGTGTGTTTACTGCAGGTGAGATGTTTTGGTGCTTTACTTGAAAGATTGTGTCTATCCAAAGTTTAGTTGAAGAAACCAGTATTCGAAGCTTGATGTGACCATCTAATCTATTGCTAAAAAATATTTTTTATTGCACTATAGACCTGAAACTAATTTGTTCTAGGATTAGTATGTCTGATGGGGGAGTTTTTGCTGACTAAATAAGACCAAAGTTAGCAAAGAAAAATGTTATTAGCACAACTTGTATCTGGGACCCTGTGTACACAGTTTCGTTCGACCTCATGTACCACATGTGGTGAATGACAATAAAACCTCCTTGAACTTGAACATTTAGCAGGAATCAGCTGAATTAGATTCCTGACAACTTAAAGACAAACTTCCAACACAGAAAAAAAGAGCTGGACCTCACTGATCACATTTAGAACTGTAGATTAAAAACTTAATAAGAATTTCCGCCTTAAAAGCATGGACACAGAAATCATCCCTCTATTACCTGATTCATCCTTTCTGGGTCTCGGCGGTCACTGGTGCCCAAATCCAGCTACAGTTCCTTTATTCTACCCGCTCCTCCATGCAGGTTGTTTGTGCAGATCTCAGAAAAATCTTTAAAGTCAGTACACACCTGAAATTAACATGAATACTGAAAAAAACGTTTATTTTGAAATGCTTTGCTGTGATTTGTCGGGCGGCACAGTGGCGCAGAGGGAGGATTTGCTGTGCATTTCTTCAAAATTTAACAGGATAACCACCTAAAAACAATTATTTGTTTGCTTGACATTATAGTAAAGGTGTGTCTCAGTTGAACTTTTCCTTAATAAATGCACTTTAATGGTCAAATCAGCTGCATTTCACCTGGGCGGCGCGGTGAAATGCAGCTGATTTGACGTTTGCTCCAAGAGTTCTGGAGCGAGACGACGGTGACTTTGTATGGCAAGCCATGCGTCTCATTAATAGCCACTTTTACCTATTAATGAGACACTTGGCTTGCCATACTGGTTGAGGACCCTCTAGTGGCTGAAAATAGTAATGTTCAGTATTTTCCATGTCAGAATGAATGAACTCGTCAGCCAAAAATTGTTTTTTAAATATGGGGGGGGGGGGGGGGGGACATAAATACGTTACTTTGCTGTATAAGTCGCAGGGCATGCTAATTTATGCACACAAAAAAAACTGACTTACACAGCGAAAATTACAGTATTTAAATTATACATTGGTTTCTATTCTTCATGTCTCGCTCCCCTTTCATTGTTCATCTCAGGAGCTGGCGATCCAAAGAGGTTGGCGTCTACCTGATTACACAGTTTTGACGGAGTCTGGTCCGTCACACCACAGGGAGTTCACGGTTGCATGTAAAATTGAGTCGCTGACAGAAAAAGGTATGAATATATTCCCTTTTAAAATAATCAATTTGGATTTTATTCATGTTGTGTTGATCCTGCTTTAATCTATTTCTCCTTTTGTATTGCAGGTGTTGGAAGTTCCAAAAAAACTGCAAAAAGAGTGGCTGCAGAGAAAGTGGTGGCAAAACTTCAAAGTTTGTCAGGAGGTGCAGAAATCACATGGGTGAGTCAGAGTTTATTAACGAACCATTTATTCCCCACCCCCCACCCCCCAAATTTTTTTTTTTTTAAATGCATATTTGTTTTTTATGTCAGAAGAAACGGCACACTTTTGTTTTTCAGACTCCTAAACCGAGCGTTCTGTTTGAGAACATCAAGAACTCCAGGGCGGAGAAGATCTCCTCACTGAGGGGAAACCCACTGAGCATTCCCAACACAGACTACATCCAGATGTTGTTGGAGCTTTCTAAAGAGCACAGCTTCGAGGTCACATACTTTGATATAGGTAAGACAACTACATGACTATTTATTTATATTTCCATCCATCCAAATGTACTGTATCTGCTTTATATTCTGCATTAAGATTGTGAAAAGTAACTTAAATATATCATGAGGTCAAAGTTTGCGGCAAATTCAAACGTTTGTGGCAATAAACTACCCAAATACACAACATTTGATTTGTTGAATTTAGTAAAAGTCATATTTAATATCTGTAAGCGCATTGAAAAACTGCATGAGTCGTCTATATAAAGTTTAGCTTGACATGGCTGATGGACTGATTTGACGCCCTGCCTGTGAAAGCTGCACTTCTTCATACGTGACATTTATCGTGTCTTGTGTTTGACAGACGAGCTGACGGTGAACGGTCAGTACCAGTGCCTGGCAGAGCTGTCCACCGACCCCGTGACCGTGTGTCACGGCACCGGCATCTCCTGCAGCAACGCTCACAACGACGCGGCGCACAGCGCACTGCAGTACATCAAAATCATGGCTTCCAGCAAATAAGCACATCATCGACAGATATTCATCACCTGGTCTTGAAGAATAAAGAATTAGGTTTTAGTATTTTTGTGTTTCAACACAATTTTGCCCATCCTAACATGAAAATCTAAAATTTCTATCAATTCATTGAACATAGAGAGGGTTTTTTGAATTGACTGAACATAAAATATGGAAATAGTTGTAAAAACATCCATCTTTGGTCCATTTATCACATCAAACCTTTAGGTTGGGACAATCTATGTATTTGTTTTCAAGTCCATAAAACTGTAGATCACTAATCATGTTACACTAACAGTAAATTGGGCTTTTTCCATTTTCCAAAACAGGAACATTGTTTTACCAAATAAATTAATAGTAAAAACATTTACTGTGAATTTACAAATGCAAAATGGCTTAAAAAAAATAAAATTCAAGTCTGGATAAGACATTCAAAATGCAAAATGTCTCCGTGCCTCGTCGAAGCGAGGTCTTCCTGCAGATTAAAATCAAGATGTTTTTAATTTTCTGATCATGCAGCTGGTGGAGCAGCTCCACTGTGACCCACTTGAATCGTGCAGCTTTGTCTGGATTGATGAAACGTCTGGCAGACTAAAAACAATCAAAGTAGAGCCGAAGCTTTAGATGTTTTATATGTCTTGTTTTATATTCTTCCATATTGTTTTATATTTTTACAGTGTTGCTTTAAATATTTTTGTGCTTTTAGTTTTTTTTTTTTTTTTGTTAGAACATAATGACATTTGTCTACATTTTAATTCACAACAGAAATCAAATTCATTTGATTTATTTATCCCTCTTCAAGCTTCCATCTGTCAGAAACAATCTGGAGTTTAACCCCGCTGCCTCCACGCATCTCGCTCCTGAAATACACGGCGTGTGCTATTTTACGTCTTGTATCGGTCTTTTTCTTGCAGCGTATTAAAAATCTACACACGATGTATTTATCGGTTGTTCTCGGTTTGTGTTTTCCTGTAAAAGGAGTGAACTTTGTTGGACTTCAATGGCAGAAACAACACGTGTTTGAATCTAGAAAATAAAGTCAATTCACAAAGTTTTCTGTTTGTGGTTGTGTTGAGATTGTCGCTGTTTGTTTAGTTTCACGGTTAATTAATAAAACTTTACCAAACATACTTCAGTTTATCAGATTACACCTCTAACTTCTTATCTAAGTAAACTCACATTTTAATTTAATGACTTTAATGGAGACAAATGATTGATTTTGTGATTTCTTTTGAAAGAAGGGGAAAAACCTGGTTTCATGGTAATGAAATCTGAAGCGTCCCCTGCTACTTTCTTATATTTGGTATGAATTATTGAATCATTGCAGTGTGCTGTCATGGAGCTCCACATATAAGCTGTGGGTTGAGGTCAGATGAAGCTTTTCTTCTATATCTGCTGGGAAATCATTTCTGGAGCTTTGAGTGTTCACTCTCGCCCTCTGCAGGCCAAAAGGTTGAAGTCCAAAAAAAAAGAAATGCACTATAGTAAATGGATTTGTGTTTAATGTTGGGCCACACAACGTTTAAAGCTTTTCAATGTCCCTTAATTTAGGGACCGCATCAACACAAAGTGATACTCGTATATTTTCTAATACATTTTTAACTTGTGAGAAAGTGATCTGTTTGTGTAGCTACAAACTTGAACTCACTGAGTTTTATAAATGTAAAACAAAAAGTACATTTTTACTACTAATATGCTGAATTTTAAATGTATCTCAATTGTGTTATGTGGGGCTCTGCTGTGTTTCACTTACTAATCTAAATGGCACACAAGTATTCATGCAAAGAAACACTAAAAAGCCTAGAGGCAATACTTCATTTGGTATTGATCAAATGATTTGTAGGAGGCAACGTTTTTATTTTACATCACCATGATTCATAATAGTGATATAAGGTTGTGCTCATTAGACAACAAAATGCTGAAGACTTTTCTTCTTTTCATGATCGGTTGAAATGAAAGCATGTTTGACAGCAGTTTTTCCTTTTCAGCATTCAACAGCCAACATCCTTTGCAGGTTTACTTGTGATTCCTAGAGTTTACAAAAGCAGAATGGGATGCAGCGCTTCCATGTATCAGGCTCCTCTCTTATGGAACCAACTTTCAGTTGTCCGTGAGGCTGACACATTATCTACTTGTAAGACTGGACTTAAGTCTTTCCTTTTTGATAAATCCTATAGTTGGGGTTGAGCTATCCCTTATGCTGCTATAGGCTTAGACTGCTGGAGGACAAACTGACCACATTTCTTAACTCTGCTGTCTTTACTTAAGCTGTTTTGTATTTGTAATTATTTTCTATCCTTGACATGTTTTTTGTCTTACTTCCAGCACCTGCACCGACATCTGGACCAACATCTGGACCTGTCATTCTGTGTTCGTTTCTCCTTCCTGTTCCTCTCAAACCCAGCCAGCCGAAGTCCTGAGCCTGGTTCTGCTGGAGGTTTCTTCCTGTTAAAAGGGAGTTTTTCCTTTCCACTGTTGCCTTTGTGCTTGCTCAGGATGGGAGACCGTGACAAAGTTAAGAATCAACGAGTCTGCTGACTTCTTTAGATCGAGAACTTTACTAAGGATAAATGGCTTTTGTTTGTGAATGTTTTTTTTACAGTACCCTGAGACGACTTCTGTTGTGATTTGGTGCTGTATACATAAACTGAATAGAAATTGAACATATAAAGCACACAAGCTCATCAGTTGAGTTTTGTGGTTTTATTAGAACAAGCACTATGTAGCAGCAGTGTACAGTGTTCATGGAAAGATATGTACTTTGTTAAAATTGCACTTTAGAAGAAGATACCCATTAGGAAATGGATCGTGATACACTTCAGTCCAGATGAAAAAAAAAGTGTCCAATTGAGACAACAACAAAAAACACCTTGTAAGGCATCACAAACATTCATTGGCAAGCTAAGCTGTGTAGACATGCAGGTGGAACGATGGATGAAGAAAGCTTGAGTTTTTTTTTTTTACTTCCACTACATTCTGACTCTGATCCAAGCTCTGCCCTGACCTCCACCGACGACACCGTTTTGTTTCCTCTGGATCAGAGCAGCGAAGGCAAACTTTTAACTCCGTAAGCACGTTAGTCAAATAAAACTCATCTAAGGTAAAAAAAAATCTTTGTCCACGGGCGGATCCTCAGTGGATGTGATCGTCTGTAGGCAGGTGGAGAGTGTGCGGATATTCTTTTATTTATTCTTCTAATGGCATACCTTCTTGGCATGGTTCAGTCGTGCGTTTGTGAGACATTAATAAATGGATTAAGGCACAGTGAGTGAAAATGACGCTGACGAGTTGGAGTGATGACTTTGAGATCTGTGGGGAGAAAAATAACCCGGTTGCAAAGCAGATCGACCCTTTTGGTTTATAATCTCAAGTACCGTGTGAACCGTGCACACACACACACACAATGGAATCGTGTCACGCTTTTCTTTTACATATTCATACGTCCTCAACCTGCAGTTCAGAAAGCGATTCAGTTTAAATGTGCCTCATGTCTACTACCATGTTTTGAGGATGGTTTAAGAAAAAGAAGAGCACTGGGTAAGTCTTTAAAGCTTAGCTGCTTTGCAGTAAATATAAAAACTTTGCAGAAGAAAACAACATAGCTGTAAATTCTCTGGGGGATAAAACACAATGTTTGTTCAGTAAATCTTATTGAATGAGTCAGTTTGGTTGTAAAAAATAAACGACTTCAATTTGCATCCTAACATCTGCATTTTACATCACAACCTGTAGGTGCCTCTGGTGTTTCATTATACACAAAGACTCTGAGGGATGACATAATTTCTTCAACAATTCACAAGTTTGATAAAAATGATTAATAAATAAATAAAATGACCAAGATAAACACCAAACCGTTGCTGGTTTTAGATCTGCAGCGGTCATAAATGAAAACATTTTGGTTGTTGAACCCAGGAGACAAATTAGAGAAAATGCTTTTGATGATTTGTGATTTTTGGAATTTCATGACATTATTTGTGACAGAAAATCACATAATTTTAAAGGTACTCATTGCAGTATTATGAAGACGATAAATAAATAAATCCACACCTTATTTTCCTGTCATATCAATGGTCAATGCGTCCTTAAACAGAAATTATGTCAGCAAAATTTAAAGATAGACGCCAACTACCGGCAGCTTTTGTTTATGAAAACAACCGGAGTGACTGAAAATAGATGAACAATAGAGACGTCCATGGAAAATTGAGAATCCTAACAATTTTGATGTATTGGTACATACTCATACTCAGATCTGCTGAGTAAAGTATACAGATAGACTGAAGAAGTCTTTAGAATGAAAGACGAAAGGTTTCTATATTTTTTTTTGTTTTGTTTTTCTGAATGTCCAGAAAACCAAACTTAACTTTTTTTAGATTTTTCTACCTGGATTATTGAGCATGCATTAGGATATACAGATAAAAGTGCTTTGTTTACGTTAAGTATTGACCTGCACTCAATGTAAACAAAGCCCGTTTTAGAATTGTATACTGGTATATCTAGAAACTACTGGAGTACACTTTTAAACCGCAACATTTGATATAGTTCAGAAAACCCTTTTTATGTTTAAATTCATAGTTTCCAATGAGTACCTTTAATTAAATACTTTTCATTGTGTAGCGTCTGTATTTGCATCTGAATGTACTGTATGAAAGCATTTCTTGAAATAGATATTTAAGAAGATTTTATCTACTTCTTTACTTCTACTATAGTTTCAGTTATGAAGGTCAACATCCCAAAGTGTCTCAGTGAGCTTTGCATTACATTCTTTCTCCATCTTCGTCTGACAGTCTTTGCTTTTTCACATTTCTCTGCACCACATTCAAAAGGGACAACACATACTTGATGCTTGCTCATAGCACATTGTGTATCTAATCAGAACCTTAGAGTTGATTACCTGACGCTACGAAACAGATCTGTGGCTGTTCACGACAGGGTTCCCATTTAATTTAGCTGCTCATTAAAAATACAGTCTTCTACTCTGACCTAAAATAAGCTGTGTCCCAGAAGAATGTACTGCTATCTCAGATTTAACAGTATTAAACAGCAAAAATAAATAAAATCTGCCAATTCAAAGAATTATTTTTTCCACACGATATTTTTATAAAAATACTTCTTTTTTTTTCTACAATATTTGATGATATAGTAAATATGGCATTATGCCACTGAAAGCTGCTCTCTAAGCATGCACGGTATTGTAGAATATCTACATCTTAGATTTAATCTAACCAAACAGCTGTCAGGAATGAAATGGCTTCAACACAAAGTCGCCTATTCCTGTGACGTGGATGGGGTCTTTTTCATTGTTATATATTTTTTAAGGCAAGGACAAACTTGAAAGTCAAAAAAGCCGAGCAAAGATCTACGTGGGAGTAGGAAGATCGTTGTCTTGACAACCCTGCTTCGACAAGCACAATGAAGGAGATCCTGCAGGAGGTTACCAAGGACTGGTGTCCACACGGGAGCTCCTCACAACCACAACAGGCTCGTGGGACTTCAGGTCAACCCTCAGCTCTGCAGTTTGTCATCCTCTTTTTTTTTTTGTTGTTATTTCCTTGCACACAGACTATGCAGCGTGTTTCTGTTGACACCCTACTGTGCATAGGTAACAGCTTTCTCCTCTGCAGGGATGGACGTGGAGATCCATGTGCTACCACAGATTCACCGCTTCCTCCATGTTGATGAAGCCGGGGTTCTTTCGGAGCTCCCAGTACGTGTTGTTGGACACCCACCTCTCCCTGTGATTGGCATCCACCGCTTTCCTGGAGAAACACACAAATAAATGATTAAACAAAGGATGCCAGTGAACATCCAGGCATAAACTATACGGTTGCACAGTGATTTTATTCTTGTAAATTGTCTCGGTAATTAAGTAAATTAAATAAAAGAAACAAAAATATTTGCTTTATTGAGGACAATCCTATTTGGTGGAATAAAACCCAAAGTACTTGGCTGATTGCACGTTTGTGACTTCATCTTTAGACATTTTTTTTTAATTGACTGTAGGTGTAAAGATTAACTCTACACCTACACAGACCTAGAACTCTTAATATGAACATCCTGTAAACATTAAGTGAAGTTTTCTTTTTGCAGATAACCTTTTATCCACAAAACAACAATAAATTCAGCACATTGGTACGTTTCTTATATTTTTGTTTTCCTCTCTTACTGGTGTGACTAACGATCTATCCACAGTCCCATTGGATCCAGACCATCATTTAATCACTGTTCAGACTAGAGTTGCATTTGGGTCCAAAAAATCAGATCCGGGCCCAGCCTGTAGCCATCATTTCCGAACCCCACCCGGCCCGACGAATTAACAGTAATTACAGGTCCGAAACTGACACCCCCCCAACATTTTTAATTAGGCTTTGTCTGCTTATATAGTTATTAATGGTCGGCGGATGCACACGGCTGAATAGATGGGTATGGGGTGTCGTTTGTTAAGTTACTGTCAAAAATTAATAGCAACATTTTGGTTTATTTAGCCTTTCATAAGGAAAAAAAATATACATATTTTCAAAGTCATATTTTCACCATATCATTCATACATTTATAAATGTCATAGTTCCAAACTAAATATTTAGTTTACAAACTAAAACCTTAACTTGCAAGTTAAATATTTAGTTAGCAAACTAAATATTTGGCTCCATACTAAATATTTAGTTTACAAATAAAATTTTTATGTCCAAGATAAATATTTAATTTGCAAACCAAATATTTAAGTTGCAAATTAAATATTTAGTTAGTGAACTAAAAATTTAGGTGTAAATTAAATGTTTAATTTCCAAGCTAAGTATTCATTTTCAAAACTAAACATTAACAGCTGAGGGGGTGTTTGTCCTTTCGTGGCCGTCAAAGCGCATTAAAACCCTGCTTCTGCCTGCATTCTGCATTATTCAGACACGGACCCTGCTCTGACATATCGGATATTTTGGGATTGCACCTGTTTGGGTCGTCGGCCGCACGCGTCCGCTGAGTGCAGCGGCAGAATGTCCATATGGGCTGATGGATCGCTGCCTGGCAGTAGTCCCATATGAAGCTTAACTAACTTCTTTCAAGGCCGGTCAGCGCCCGGTCAAATGGACGTGTGCGGTTGTTGAAAGTATGACAAGCCATGTTGCCATATAATTGCATCGTCAGTCGTGCGTGTCTGCTGATGCAATCAAAAGCCCAACACTGGCCCAGCCCGCACATTATTATGTCCTAGGCCGGGCCGAGCTCCGAGTTCGGGTTAGAAATGACAGCTCTAGTTCAGACTAAAAGGGATTGCTGTGATTTGTCTCAGGTCAACATTGTTTTATATTTAAAGTAAAAAAACAAAATTGTCACAGATTTTCAAGCTGAACAGTTTTTCAAAGAACGATCACTTTAAACTGCTGCAGCACTCTTAATTTTCATCTTAAAAAACAAAACGGAGAGCAAGATTTTGAGTGAAAAGTCAAAATGACAGACTTTTTAAACTCCCTCTAATATCCACAGTTTTTCTACCAAAAACAGAAAACACTGAGGCTCATGGTGACAAAACCACGACAAAAGGAAGTACAATTTTCTTCCCCCAGAAGCGAGTTTCAAAAACACAATCTAAGTTCATTTTGAGTGAGAGACTGAATGTTGCGTCACCATGGTAACCTGAACAGTACCGTTTGGTAATTACCAGCTTCTGTCTTCTATTTACACACATTTTAAGGGTTTAGCGCCATCGATGGGATAACGGGCTGCAGAAGCAACTATATTTGTCTGACGACATCGGGTTATTCAGTCAGGACAAAATGTTTCATTCAGTGTTTAAAATAAAGCACCACAGTAGAGGCGCTGCTGTTTCACTACTTTTCACTACTACCAGTAGTTCTAGTCTACAAAATAAATTTGAGGTGGCTGAAAGCATGTGCTTCTGCTCTTACTTGAAGAAGCGTGGTTCGTGTTTGACGTTGTTCTCCTCGTTCCACTTCCTCCTGGTCCTCTGCGCGTCCTCGATGCGCTGCTTCTCTGATGACGCCAACTCCAAGTTCCCTTCCTCCAGATACCTGCACCAGATAAAAGCACAAATTAAACCAACAACTCACATGCTGAACTTTTAAACAAAGCACGTGTGCTAATTGTTGGAACTCAGACTATGCAGTGGGGATAACTGTCAGTTACTACCACACCAAGTTTTAGTTCAATATCTTTAAAACTGACTGACTTATAGCCATTTTTTTTTAGTTTTACTGAAGTCTAGTTGTAGCAGCCATCTTGAATTGGGCTGACTCCAAAGGTTATTCACTTTCTGAAAGTTTTATAAAAATGTGTCCACTGGTTTAAATTATTTTTTTGGTAACACACGTGAGTGCACCTTTGATCTGGTCTGAATCGAGCATCTGTGCGTGGCAGGACGTCCTTCAGCTCAGGACAGAGCTCGTTCAGTTCGATGGCGAATCTGGTGAAGCCGTAGTACAGCTCATAGTCTGTGGGCATGGAACCTGACAGGAAAAGGCATGTAAATCCTCCTTTAGCTGAACAACTGAGCCGTTAAAACGGACGTAAAATCCAGCTGTGAGACAGTGAAGAGCAAGAGCCTACCTGGCCTCCAGACGCACTTAGCTGATGGTGGGACACCACAGTAAAGACCCTCGTGCCATTTTCCAAACAGCCTGTGGTAAACAGCCACTTTCCCCTCTTGGTCCATCACAAACCCCTGAACTTCGTTCACATTCGAGCTCCAGTAGTTCCCCTAAAACACAATAACTCTCAGTCTGGATTAGGGATGCATGATATCGGATTTTTGGCCGATATTCCGATATGTTAAAACTTATTTGTCCGATAACCGATACCAATTCCGATATTTTTCCCTAGACCTATTTAGAGAGACTACATAGCTTTCTCTGCTGTGGAATTAAAATACTACATTATTATGCACGGTCTTTGTCAATTTAGCCTGCTACCAAATACAAATGCCAAAAAGGGGGCTGAAAATGATGTAACACTATATAAAAAAAACAAAAAACATCGCCTTTTGTTTTGGTGAGTTATTTCGATGGAACGGCCAATGTCCGATATTTAACTTTATCGATAATATCGTCCTATACCGATACCATGCCGATAATATTGTGCATCCCTAGTCTGGATGTACTTTGTACTTCACTAAGTGACTTTTAAATAGATGTTTGTGTTTAAATGTCATCTCAGCTCTTACCTTGATAAAAGTGAGTTTACAAAGACAAGCGCTGCTCTTTAGGTTCCTGATGGTGATCTCGCCGTAATGTTCGATCCACCGTCGTCCACTCAGGATGTTGTGAACGCAGGTGGTGACTTTGTTCCATTCGTAGTGATCGCCAAACCTAAACGATGCAATAACACGATACAGGTCGGAATAAAAACAGGAAAATAAGTAATACACGCACAACTGCACCCAATTCCCGGGTCAGCTGCTCATTTATTTTTTAAGGAATTAAACGTACAGCTGATAATAGGCTATAAAAGTATTTCCCCCTTTTATTAAACTAAACAAGTAAACAATTTAAGAACAATGTTATCTCTAATTCCATACTGATGAAGACATTTGCTATAAAACAGAATATAAAAATGTTAATTTCTTTATTTGTAACGACAGATTGGTTTGTCATAGAAATATGTTTGTTTGTTCCATTGATTTGATATTTTCATATTATAAGCTGCTGTGGCTAATTTAATGACTCTGAAGCTCATGTGTTTTTCAGAAATTAAAGATGTGTTCCCACCCTAATTAGACTTTGGATGTTGACACGAACACAGCTGAAAGAGACAAGATGTTAATTAAAATAAACCCAACGACCCTGCTGGCTTAGATAACTGGGCGCTGCTTCCACAAGAACGAAACATGCGCTGCTTTTAATCCCTGCACAAGGAAACAGATTGGAAGTTACCTGGGAATTGTGAGATTCACAGATCCAATAGGTAAAATTTCCATTGATTTTCCCCAGAATTTGTTTTTCCATCTTACATCTGGAAAAGAAAACAACAACAAAAATCAGAAATAAAGAAAATAATACACTTTGTCTCACATTTCCTATAACAAAGTTGCTGGATGTAAAGAAGCTTAATTGAGCCTTGCTGTCTCATATTCACAGAGCTGGAGCTCCCCAGTGAAAAGCCTCTCATTAATTAGTCAGATGATCTACCTTGCCAGAAGGTGAAGTTCTTCGACTCGCAGTGGCAGGCGGAGATGGGAGGGTGGTGGCTCACCTTTGAGAAAAGATAAAACAAAAATCTGACAGCGCTGCACTGAACCTACATGATTTGGACATTTTTGGTTTTACTTGTTCCAATTTTTTGTACTGTAGTCTGAACAAAACTCTGCAAAGACTGTAAACTGTGTTGCAGAAGTTACAAGAAATATGTTTTTCAGGGCAACAGAAAGTTCCTGTCCTTTATTCCCCAACCCAAATTTTCTTTTAAAGGGATAGTTCAAATTTTTTGAAGTGGGGTTCAGAAATGGTTCGGAAAATAAGAGTTCACTTCTGACCTTCACATCACACAGGGATGGCTGGATATGGACACAAGTGACCCATGTGACCCAAAAAGGAAGAAGTGGGTAAAGATAATAGATGGATGGACTTCAGAATAAGTGGAACTAATCCTCAGGTTGAGCCTGGGGTCTATCTGTGTGGTGTTTGCCTCATCTCCTCATGTTTGCATGGGTGCTCTGGTTTCCTCCCACACAACATGCATGGTTAGGCTGCCTTCAGGCCCAAACCACCCTTGCAGAATATATCTATAATTTCAATGGTAGTTGCCTGATTAAATTAAGGTAAATAATAAAAGAAGTTAATGGAAACCCACACTTTATTAATGAAACTTAAGGAAGTCTAAATTAAACATCTTGAACACATACATCTAAAACTTTGATTAAGATATAGGCCATAGCTTTTTCTTTGACTGGTAAGTCGTTGTTTATAATTTCAGAACTAGACTGAACATTAAAGACTCAAAAAAAAAAAAAAGCAAACATGCAATGTTCTTTTCATTAACATATACTTGGTCACAACGGCCAGTTTACAGGATATACTGTATGTCTTTTATTCCTGGAGGGTATCAGAGATACAATATTTGACAGTGCATTCTAAATATGCTGCAACTTCTCCAAATAAATGGTAAATGGACTGTATTTATATAGCCCCTTTTTATTATCAAGATACTTAAAGTGCTTTACAACCCAATCTGTGTCCTCATTTACCAATTCATACAGCCCTCTACTAGATCTCTACAAAGACTAATCATTCATACACCGATAGGACACACATTGGAGGCAATGAGGGGTTCATTGTCTTGCCCAGGGACACTTCAACATGTGACTGCTGGTGGAAATAAACCTCCAGCTCTTGCATTGGAGGACGACCGCTCTAACCACTCAGCCACAGCTGCGCTAAGTACGAAATGGCCCTAAATAAAAAATGGAAGCAAAAGACCTGGAAATATCTTTCAGATTATGTCTGCAAAAAATATACTATCTAAATTCATCAGGCAGCCCTTTGAATGCTTTAAATAACCTAATTTGACCCTCTGAAAAGAAAATACTGCCCAAGGCTGGGCTAGTCTAAGTGGAAACAAGACCAAATTGAAATGCTGGAATGTGTTGCATAAACTACTTTGAAATCTTTGGGTTGAAGTTGTTGATCCCTCCTATAGGGTCAAATCGACACACAAGGCGCAGATGGTCATTTTGACCCAAGTGCAGCTTGAGTGGTAAAGGCATCAGCATATCCCTTTGGTCTTGGCTTCACTCAGACTAGCTGTTAGCTCACCTGTTAGCTGTTAGCTCTTCAGTCAGGTAAGAATTTCACTCTGCTTCTTCAAACTGAGGTTGATCAAAGAGCTATCTACAACAGGTAAGATAATAATTGCTCATAACCTTTCCAAATAACTTCACTTCAAATATTCTAAACTATGCATTTCAGTCTTAAAAAAAAGAAAAGAAAAAAACTTTCATGACGCAAACATAGAATAAAACACATTTGTCAAAAAGGCTGGTAATGTCTGTTAATTTAACAGTATTTCAACAATCTTGTTCACATTCTTAAATACTAAGACGTTAAACATCCAGTGAACTTTTCTGCCAATTATAACCGAATGGACATACCTGCTCAGAGAAAAAACAGAAGCCCTTATCCTCCCGGATACATTCATAAGTCTCTCCAAGCAGCGGGTTGAATGGCTTACTTCCTGCTCTGTAATAGGTGCTCGAGTAGCCTGAGACGGCAAAAGCAGCAACAAGCACCTGTCACCAAGTCAAAACAGTCGAAACGGGAGAGAATTAACTGTCTCGTTAGAAAATATTTAGTCACAAATGAATCAGACATTCAGTAAAACTGGAGATATAACAGGCTATTCAACTCAAGAATAATCAATTGCTGATTCTCCTTTAGATGTTCTGTAAAAAGCTAAGGTGGATGATGGCCATGATTAACTTTCGATTTAACACAGGGCTTGGTCGATGTGGGCTTCTTCACCATGCGTTCAAAGGGATCCTCGGTCTCAGCAGCCTTGTCCAGCAGCTCGCTGTACTCCAGCTCTTCACACATACGCTGCAGGGTGTTGAGGGGCTCGTTGAGCTCCACTGGCATGGACACTTTGGATAAGTCTTTGCCTATGTTGTTCCTCAAGATGTTCCACAGGTTGATGTTGCTGGTGTCGGGGCAGGGGGCCGGCAGGTAGGGGCGACGCCCGTTACGGAAGGCGCTGCCGGCAAAGTCTCCATTGGCCACTAAAATAACAAACAAAATTATTTCTATTATTTGGTCATTTGATAGTGGTTGTTGCTGCTCTTAGAAACAAACTTTAAAGATTTTTTTTGCATAAAAATCCATGTTTTGAACTTGTAAATCACAAAAAATTTAAAGTCTAACTGAAAAAAATCTGCAACACTTCATGAGATGGTCAAAAATAAATTAATATCAACTAATGTAAAAACAATACAATCCTTACTGCTTTGGGGGAGAATATTCAGTATTTTAAATAAACACTGCTTTTGATGAATCTGGACATATAAAAGGTTAACATCAACTTTTTAAAATAATAGAAGGGACAGGGCTACTAATTAAAAAACTCAAAATAACTCAAAATAAGATAAATGAAGTGAAATCAAGATTGTTTAATAAAAAGCATAAACAAAATGTAGAATTAGTAAGTGCAATACTAAAATGTAAAACAAATGTATTTTTAACACAATTTTTTAACAATTATCTTGACATATGTGAACTGTGCTGGCAAAATAAGACATAACGAGGTATTTTTCAGCATTTAGTTATTATTATTATTTTCAAATTCATCAAATTTAAAATTTCGAAATGTTACTTAGTTTGTTAAAATTTGGTGATTTATCACATAATCTGGCAACAACTAGACAGTTTTGTTCATGAGTGTGCTAGTTTGAAAACTCCGCTTTACTGGTCTGAAGTGATGATGACACTGGGAATTTGGGAATCCTCAAGATTCGCAATGATGCCAAACATTATACGAAGGGATTTTTCAGTGCTGTGCAAACCAGAAGAGAAAAATTGTCAATTTCAAAGGAACTTATAAGGATTAGAAATAAAGGGATCATTTAAAAAATGTTTTAAAAACTTTAATCTAAAGGTAAATTTGTTAGATTAAATGCTATTTTAGTTACTGAGAATGCTAGAGAGTGTTTTTGTGGACTCATTTCCATGCAAATCTTAATTATAACAAAAATATATATAATCATGTTTTTCCATGCAGCCTGTGCTTATTCTGACTTATTTGCCAGCACAGATCACAAGATATTAGTTTTCCAAGGTCTTCCTTAAAATTTGGATGCAAGAAAGTTAAGTTTTTCCACCATCAGTAGATACTTTCAACCCAACTTTCCTCCACTGCGTGGGAAGTGACAGAGATAAAGGAGGGAGATCCCCTTCCACCCTCCACCAAACTGTTTTATAATCCTGAGAAAAGACCTCGGCACAGAGCAGCACTGCAAAGTCATCCGCCTCTGCACCACTGATAAATGAGTTTGTCAGAACAAGCGAGCATTTGTGGATGTGACATTACAGAGAAAAGGATGGCTCACGGAGAAACCCAAATCCCAGTTTTATTCATTTCTACCGTTCTTTTAACTGAGGCTGTGGAAACATGTGACAGAACTGGACCTACTTTGTCTGGAGACGTTATCAGTCACGCTGGCGTTGTCCTCAGAAATGTTATCGCTCACATCGCTGACATATGACTCATCATCTGAGCCCTGTGAAAGGTACAGGTACAGAATAAAAAGTCACATATTGATCAAATACACAAGACCAAAGTCAGTCTCACTCACACAATTACACGGTTGTTGCAGTTTGCCAGTGGCTGTCATACTGCAGCAATATCTGTCCCACTGCAGAAACAATCGCACGAGACACTGCAGCAGCTTTGTCTTTATATATAGGAATACAACAAGGTCAATGATGACCGCAGAGTGGAGCATTTTGTAGCAACGTTCTTTAAAAGCCTCCATGACCATCTGGTTACGGCTGTTTAAGTAAACAGATCTGAATATGCCTCGTACTATAGCTACAGTGCGAGGAGCAGATGAACTTCCTTGGATTGGGGATCATCCAATGCCATGGAGCTAAAGGGTTTCAAGTCTTTAAAAAGATAATATAAGAAAAAAATAGAGCAGGAAATTCACAGCAGCTGAAGTGGAGACATGGCATAAAGCCTTGTTTAGTGTAATAAATTTTGTAAGAGCTAGAAGCCACAAATAAAATAAATAAATAGGAAAACAACCTGAAGCAGAAGCAGATTTCAGAAGACTATTGAAGTGTGTGTTTTAGTTTTTTAAATTTATTTCTAATTTTAGTTATCAAGGTGCCTTTGTTAACGGCTAACTCAACACGCCAACAGCAATATAAGAAGATGCAATTTAGAGCAAAAAAATAATGTATCACAAGCAAAATCGACGCCATAGAATGAGTTGTACAAGAAGTTGGACACTAAAGAGGAAGAGAAGAATTGGTTTTGACTGGCAAGACCGAGAGATCAGGCTGGAAAGGTTGTGCAGCAAGTTGGGTTTGTTAAAGCTAGGAATTGCGATGTTTGAAAAAGTGAGGTGGTGTGATGAAAAAATTAAAGGAGATAATGAATGAATAGAATGAAAAGGAAAGAAGAGTAGAGGTCAAGAATAAGGGTGATGTACAGAGTTGTAGCAACTACAGGGGAATTAAGTTGATGAGCCACACAATGAAGATCTGGGAGAGAGCTGTGGAAGCAAGACTTCGACGAGAGGTGACAATCTGAATAAGGAAGAGCACCACAGATGTCATCTTTGCTTTGAGGATGCTGATGGAGAAGTACAGAGAGGGTCAGAAAGAACTCCATTGTGTCTTTGTAAATTTAGAAAAAGCATATGACAGGGTGCTGAGGGACGAGGTGTGGTATTGCATGAGGATATCTGGAGTTGCAAAGAAGTATGTGAGACTGGTACAGGACATGTATGAAGACAGCAGGACAGTGGTGAGATGTGCTGGAGTGACAAATAGCTTCAAGGTGGAGGTGGGAGTGCATCAAAGATCGGCTCTGAGCCCCTTCTTGTTTGCTCTGGTGATGGACCAAGTAACAGATGAGGTCAGGCAGGAATCCCCATTAAGTTTGCAGCTGATGTGATCTGTGGTGAGAACATGGAACAGTTGGAAGAGAACTTGGAGAGGTGGAGGTATGCACTTGAAAAAAGAGGAATGAAAGTCAGCTGTAGTAAGACAGAGTACATGTGTGTGAATGAGAGGGAGGCTGGTGGAACAGTGAGGCTACAAGGAGCAGAGGTCACAAAGGTGCAGGACTTCAAGGACTTGGGGTCCACTGTCCAAGAAAATGGGGAGTGTGGTAAAGAAGTGAAGAAGAGAGTCCAGGCAGGATGGAGTGGATGGAGAAAAATTTCAGGAGTGATTTGCAACAAAGGGGTGTCGGCAAAGGTCAAAGGAAAAGTTTACAAGACAGTGGTGAGACCAGCTATGTTGTATGGTCTGGAGACAGAGACATGGACAAAAAGACAGGAGAAAGAACTGGAAGTGGCAGAAATGAAGATGTTGAGGTTCTCCTTAGGAGTGACAAGGATGGATAAGATTAGAAATGAGATCATCAGAGTTACAGCACAGGTTGAACAACTGGGAGATAAAGTTAGAGAGACCAGACTGAGATGGTTTGGACATGTCCAGAGGAGGGACAGTGGGTATATTGGTAGAAGAATGTTAGAAATGCAGCTGCCATGAAAAAGGCAAAGAGGAGAAACATGGCTGCAGTTAGAGAGGACATGGAGATGGTGTGAGGACAGAGGATGCAAAGATGTGAGATGTGAGATGGAGGATGATGTGGTGATCCCTGAAGCGGTAACATCTGAATAATAATAATAACAAGAGGTCAAAAGGTAGGCTAATCTGTAACTTGATGTATACGTACAATTGTTTAGAGTCAACTGGGCTATGAGTTTAGAATCAGTTCCAACACATACTCTGAGTGAGACCTTATGATATTGCATAGTGTTACGTTAAAGATTTGATCATAAAGTCTACAACGTTGTCATATTTTCAAGATGATCTTACTCTAAACCTATAGCATGAATGTTGATACAGTATGCATCCCCACAAGTAATGCACTAACATTAATTTAAACCTGCAGTTCCTGTAATTTACTTCAGCTACAATGCAAACCTCACAGTCCAAATACCCATATTTTCTTGGAGCCTCAGCTTCTTTCTGTTTTACCTCATTCTCCGACGAGCTGGCTGACAGCAGCACTTCCTGCGCATCAAAGAACTCAGAGACAGACTCTGACATGGAGAGTCGACTTTCATTAGAGGCCTGCTGAGTCAGAGGGATCCCCATCTGTTCCACGGCCTGCAGCCAAACACAAGCAAACACAGCATTTGTTCACCGTGTCTCCATATGATGACAGCTTTTTAGAAGTCAGAACAAACGTGAGCAAAGGGAAACAGAAGCAGCACCAGAGGGCAACCCAGAGTTCATATTATTACATGTGTATCCACGCTAATGGCTGCATTCATTTTCTGTTAGTCATTATTTTCTCAATTAACCCAGACATCAGATTCTGCAAAGAATTATGTCGCTTTAGGCTTACTTGCCAGGATGTACTGAAAAGACCGTACATCTCTGGGACAGGAATCAATGACTCAACTGACAACAGCAGGACGAAAACCCTACAAGTATGTGGACTGCCTTGGAAGATGTGGTTTTAATCAATATCAGCAGAAGAAATCAGCTCTATCGGAGATGGATTTTTATTATTAACAGCAGTGACCTACCTCATCAGGTGTGGTGATGATGTTCACACTCACAACTTGCTCCGTCAGGACAGATTCAGAGTGGATGCGGTTGAGGCGAGTTCGGAGTTCAGCATTTTGGGAGAGGGCCTGAATAATGGTAATTAAAAAAAAAAAACTATTAGAAAAAAAGATTTTGACCCTTAAACTTCTGCATTTTATGACGTTAATGAGCTTGCTTTGTTTGTTGTTGCAGCACAGTTTAATAGAGCTATCAAATATTTTAGATTTTCTTCTGTTATGCTTTTTTTGTTAAAACAAATACTGCTCCTGTAGGGGAAATAAAATCTGCATTTCAGGTCACCATTTGAATTCAAGGACACTACTGAAAGTACTGAATCCGTAAAAGAGAGCAATTATAATACCTGAAATTAATCAAGTGTGGGGAAATGTGACTCCAACTAAATAATAATTAATAATAATAATTAACTGCTCTGATAGCAGTTTTAACACTTTGTTTCCAAACATGCTAAGAAAGCAAATGAGGGATTAAAGGCCTTCAAACATGCAAATTCATTGTCATTCCATTTAGGAAGATTAATGTAATAGTTTGGTGTGACTGAATGTAAAATAAACATATTTCTCTTACTGTACATTTCAGAAATAATTTTTTTTCATCTTCAGTATGAAAAAGTAAAGCTTAAAAGCTTTTTTTTAATAAAAATAAACTTTTTTTTTTTTTGTCTTAAAAGATCTCCAAACTTTTTAAACATCTATCAGACAACTGAAATCCCGTTTTCTCTTCACAAATTCGGCAATGCCACGTTTAAAGCACACGCAGATACACCGTAAACCTGTTTCTTTGGTTAGCATCAGTAATTACAAAACTGTAATGTCAGTTCTCTTTTGTAAAATGAGTCGCCGAGGCGCAATGGGATTAACCTGTATAAATAAAGGTTGAAAGGTTGTTATTACTCTGCTTACGTTGCACTAACTGTGAAATAAAGACTTAAAATGATAGTTTAGATGTTTTGATGTGAGTTTCTAAGGATAGGTTATGAATAACTAATGTCTTACCTGTTTAGGATAGTAGTTTTATCAAATCAGTATAGGCTAGAGCATTGGCTAGATTTTTACTCTGAATTTTTAAGACTGAAGCCCAATGATGTGTTGCTGCTAATTCTACTAGATCTTTATATTCTTTCATTTTCACTGGTTTAACGGATCATTGAGGATGCATGTATTCTGGCAGTCAAGCAGAGCTCACCCAGGACCATAGTTTCCACTTTCTAATCCTTTCAAAATAAACTACAATGGCAAAATCAGATGACGGGATACATGTTGTTTATTCATTAATTTATTTTGGAAGGGTTTAACAATAGCACCCCAACTAAAAGAGCACAGTTAGAAAACGATTTGATTGTTTTAGGTGTGGTGTAATAAGTAAGTAAGTACTGTAATTTCTGGATGATTAAGCACATCTGAATATAAGCCACGCCCACTAAATTTAAAAAGAAAATTAAAATTTTACATAAATAGGCCGCACTTGTCTATAAGCCATGGCTGTTCACGTTGTAACATGAGATATTTACACAGAAAGATGTTTTTTTAAACTTTTAATTAAATACGTACCGGTAACACGCACAAATACAGTAGGCCTAAATGTTTTTTTCTGAACAGTGCATGCAACACGGCTGATAAAAAAAACCCCAGTAGTCTACCAGGAAGTCATTGATTGTACTTCCCAAGAGAGACGTGTATTGGGCAGCTATGTGAGCGCCTGGGTGTGACGAAGCTAAATGTTTTGGTGGCATGAAGCTCGTTAGACCATCAAAAAAAAAAAAAAATAAATAAATCCATAAATTAGCCGCAGCATTGTATAAGCCGCAGTGTTCAAAGCGTGTGGAAAAAGTAGCGGCTTATATTCCGGAAATTATGGGTAAGTAAATAAATCAATAAATAAAAACATGGTGGTCACAATAAACCTTGAATTTTGCACATTTTAGTTTGACTTTGAAAATCTCTACTCTGAGCAACTTGCAAACAACCATTTAACCTTTTGTTCTCTGAAGTCATTAAGAAGGTTATCAACAATAAAAAAAGAAAAATTATTGTTTGCAACCATTCTATAGAACTCCCCACTTCAAATGAGCTGAGCGTTAACATCTTTGCTGGCTGCAGGTAAAAACATTTAAAAAAACCACGAACAAACTGAACAAGAAGCGATGTGCTAATGTGTGATGAGACAGTCTGGTGGAGCAGATGAGCAGCAGAAAAAAAAAATCTACTGAACTCTTGAACTCTGTGAGAATAACTCCTTTTGGTGTGACTCTGTACCTGAAGAATATATGTGCAAAAAAGTTGTAACACACTAAACGACTGAACAAATACATAAATAAAAGCAGCATACTGCAACATCTTACAGTATATAGTGAAGCTATCTGTAATAAACACAAGTGTGAAAACGTATCTCTCAATAAGGATTCAACCAGCTGACCTGAGCAGATGGCTCTATAAAACTCCAATCCTCTGAATATCAATCCACAGAGCTTCTCTGCTAAATCTGACCTACAGCTGAAGACAGCTGCATCACACTAACACCCAATTAAAAAAAAAAAAACAACAAAAGTCAAAGCAGCAAGTGAAACGTTTCATGAAAACTGTCAACAGTTAGCAGAGGAACGGTCCAATTAAATCGCTGATGCAGAAAGAGACAGCCCTTAGGAGCTCTGTTAATGAACTGCACTGCACATTTCTCTTCATCACCAATTAATACAGGAAAAGATGATTGGACTTTCATGACTCGCTTGCTTCTGCCTTCATCTTCGCTTTCATTTTAGCTGAGATAATTGTAACTGCTTTGAATAAAATATATAGTGTGCGTTCTGTAACAAAAAGTCTGTCATCATGAACATAACCTATTATAGAGGAGCTATAGGATTTCCAAAGACACATTTGTTGAATTAAAGCAGCAATTTAACACCCCCCCCCCCCTTTAATATCCCAACCATTAGCATTTATAGGATGAAAGTGGCCAGATACATCAGCAAATAGATGTGATTAACTAAGAACAAAAGGAACAGTGTGAAGAAAGTGGCATCATGGGAAAGGGTTCCATTACCACTGACAGAGACTTCCTGAGAGAGTTGATCTGCACCGACTGGTCGGACTGTTCCTGCTCAGACAGAATCTGTTTGATCTTTTCTTTTTCTATGGCCACAGTGTTGAAGGCCGACTTCAGCAGCGAATGGACTGAAAAGAGACATAAGAAAAGCAGAAATAAAACAAAAATAAACCATCTTAACGTCACCCTTTTCCTCGTGAACAATCCTCGGCTGAAAAACTTTTCTCTAAAAAGATCAAAACAGTTTTGAAACTGTACCACAAAAAAAAATGCTGCTTTTACTCAATGTTGTTCAAGTTCTGAATTTGAGCGTGTCGTGACTGAATATTAGGAAGGAAACCGGATGATTAATTTAACTTGCAAGTGTTCACATGAAATAATGTCTCAGACACTGTGGAGGAAGGACAACAGAAATAAAAGCTCTTTATGAAAGGACGGGATATTTCACTATACAGTAATGATAAAATAACATTTTATATTTACTGGTACATAGATGTTACTTTAGATGTCAGAATGTCTGCAAAACATGAAAATATTTCCTCTCTTTTTGGTTTAACATTTCAATGTGATGACATTAAATTGAGTTTAACTTATCAGTCAGACCAAAAGGACCAGTCAAATATAAGCCTTGTTAACATCTTATCTGACCACCAAGATAATATTTTGAGTGTAACATACTTTGTATTGCTTCTCTTTTTGCTTAAAAACTGAGCAAACTTTATTTAGCAGACTTCTCGTGACAGTCAACTTTGATGCCAAGATCAATTTGTTTAAATCTTTCATTAATCTTTGGTTTTGTTGTTTGATCAAATGAGACTCGTTGAGGAACCTGCAACAAAGAAAAGATGTCAGGTTTCTGATGCGAGTTAATGTATTGACTGAAATTGGCCCATGGTTTAAATCAAGGTTTTTAATTATTTTAGTTTTTAGTTATTGACTTTGACAGCCATGGCCTAAACCATCCCAGAAATAAACAACAACAAACAGTTTACTTGAAGACAATAAAGCAAGTAAACATTTTGTATTTCCTTTAAAAACCGATAAGTTTAAAAAAGCTTTTTCATACTCAAAGAAATATTTTAGAAAAATGTTCTTGTGAAGGTTTGCACAAAAATTTAAAATGTGAATCTGGTTTTATTACAAACTCAGTCAGTTTGAGATATCAGAAAAGGAGGACAACGTTGATTAAAGTTGCCAAATGAAGAAAAAGAACCACTAAAATGAGCACAGCAGCTGTTTATAAGCAGCTCGTCTGAGCTGAACTTTACTCAGAGAGGAAACAGTGAAGGCATCACTAACACAGCAGTGCATTCAAGCACAAAAAGATATGCAGGATAATTAAAACTTAATTTCTGAACTACTGTGGAAAGTAAATTTTGCTTAATGCTTCTATTATAAAACATTTTCTCCAACTAAGATCTCTTCAAATTATACAGTTACCATCCATGTCCTGTCATGTGACCAGCCATGTTTCTTGCTCTGTATTTTAAAAACACTGTCACAGCAAAGATAAGCCTTTTAGTGTCTTTCTGCAGGATATTACAAAACAACAACAACAACAACAACAACAACAACAACAACAAATCATTTACAGCATTACAGCAGGTGCCATTTTTTAAAAACTGTTACACAGGACATTAGGGGTTGATAAGGACTGTAACCACAACATAAAGTTCCCCGGTGTGAACCAGAGGGCTATTTAGTCTCCTCCTGTCATCTCAATAATGAAAAAAGATAACTAAGTAACGTCTGCACATAAACAAGTTCATTACAATAATTTAGCACCAGTTGTACGAGCGTACCTTTCTGAGAGATGGTGCAGAATTCCTCCTGTAGTTTAATGTAGTCGCTGGCGTACTCCACGCTGTCTGTCAAGCGAGAGGAGACCGGGGGCTGAAAGTCCCCCAGCTCGGCACACAGGTTGGGGTTGGATGAGTGGAGGCGGACGGGGGACATGCTGGCTGACAGAGGAACCTGGATAAGGATCACAACCAAGGCAAACAGCTGTCAGTGACCCGACAGGCACAGGTATGATAATGTTTTCTGTGCCAGACAGTCAGATCTACCTAGATCTATAATGTAGATAGCCCTAAGTATACACTCTGCAACTTGTTTAAAGAGCTAATGGAAAACCTTTTAAAATATAAAAAAATACCTGCTTCCTTATTTAGTAACAAACTGCTATTCTGAGCGAAACGCTTTCAATTAAGGTGAAACTGAAATATATTAGAGTCCTATAACAGAGATTAAATTTTAGAAATGTTCACTAATTATCAGGTTTGGTAAATAAAGGTATTTAAGGATTATCGGATCCATGTAAGTTTAGTATTGATGCTCGGATTAACATAATATGCAATATAACAACATGCAACATGACGCCAGTGATTGTGAGCTGCAAAACAGTCAAAAGAACTAAAACAAGAACAAACAAAAAAAAGAAACAGCAAAAATGTCAGGCATCAGTTATGATTGTGTTTGTGTGATTTAATATGGTTCCCAATTAAAAGCAACAAGACAAGAGCACGTTAAAGATAAAAGAAAACAAATGATTACCTCTTACACAAAAACATTTTTTTAAATACATTCACAACAATATTTTGGTATGAAGAAGACATTAAACATCATTTAAAGATTAATAGAATCTAACTAAGGTCATAATTGGAGGAAATAATGACCTAATAAAAATATCTTAAATATGGTCATTTTTATATTTTAATCACGTTGTTTAGGTGTTTTTAAAAACAAACATATAAAGGAGAAAACCAACTTCTTGCTCTAAGTTTTGATGGGAACATGTCCAAGTTTAGTTTTGATTTGGATCTTTGGTTTTATTGAATTATTGTCTTGTTTGGATCGATTTTGTTAAGCCAGTCTTTAGTGAAGTTAGTTCTGCATTGTGAATTTAACTTCCTGTTTTATTCTGTAAAGTCCGTTCTTTGTTGAGTTGGTCTAATTTTTCTAATTTCCTCGTCTCAACTGGTCATAATTAATCAGCGCAGCAGATTCTCGTTAAAGTAATTGTCCTTCAGTCCTTCAGTTTTCTGATTGTTCCTTTTCAGATCTTTCTGCTTATATGACTTTAAGTCACGTTATCTATTTGTTTATGGATTTTTTCTGCTGCCTTCAGATATAATAAACCTAACTAGCATCTTTGTCAGCTTGAATTCTTGCATCACCGCTGTATGGAATTAAATTTGCAAGGGTACAGATATCACAATGACACAGAAAGGAGTAACATCACTATTTAGACCTGGCTCTGCAGCAGTAGCGTATTCCATATTTATTAAATTATAATAACTGGAATATTGTTTAGGGCAGAACATTGTGCACATGAAGCCTTAGTAGACATAAAAATGTTACAAATACTAAACATTTAGATGAACCTTATCTTTGTGATTTGAGCCTTTCATTTCTCTATGCCTTATTTTAATAATAGTTACAACTTATCTGGATTGTTGCAGTTATTGAAAAGTGCAGACATAAAAAACAACCAAGCCCTGCATGTGTGCATTGGTGTTAGTGATCGACAGAGAAGTGGTACCTGAAGCTGGAATTTTGCATCTTTGCCAACACTCTTTGTTCTCCATCTTCTGTTCAAGCGCTTTTCTTTCTTTGACAACTCTACACAATTGGCCTTTAAGGGCACATGTGGGTGGAAATGCGCACAGGGAGGTAAACAGGACAAACACGTTACAAACAAACAAAAAAAATTAGCTGCACATAGATTGCAATGAAATGGCATAAAATTTAAATAATGGGCTGCAAACAAAAATGAAATGTGCAGTTATAAAGATGAATTTAACCAAAAACTTTATAAGACAACAAATTAATAGATTAAACTGATCTATCTTATTAGTACATTTAAACTAAGCACCATGGAATTAGATCGGAGCAAAATCACAAAGCTAAAACAGCAAATGGTTATAATGTTGGACACAATTAAACTAAATGTAGTTCAAAAACTCATTTTGTGCATTTATGGCTATTATAAAATGTTCAATTGCATACAAAAGACCATAGAGGCAGTAGATGAACTGCAGCAACCCTGAAAGAGCAGCTGAACAATCTGTACACATGCAAGAGATGGTTTAAAAGTGACCTAACACTGAAGAAATTGAAAGCTGTGGTGTGCCTCCTTTCTGCACCTTTTAAAAGACTAAAACTGCTCCATCATTACCTGACTTATCGTCTCTCTCATTCACACACACACACACACACACACACACACACACACACACACACACACACACACAC